TGCGCTTCAGGAGTAAACCATTTTCCCGTTTTCTCATCATAATTGACCTTGAGAAAAACTTCAGGAATGCTTACACTTCGTCCTAATTCTTTTCCCTTAAGAAAAAAAAAAAGAAATAATGATTTCAAGAACTAGGGAGTTGAAGAACATAAAAACTGAGATTCAAAACAAAGTAAATGATAAACTTACATAACGTCGTCTTCGCTCAGATGTAGAAATGGCACCCCCTCGATTCAAATAACCATCTTGATTAGTAGCTATATTTTTCTTGTTTTGTTCTGACTTGTGCAGGAAAATCGGATCCGATGCCCAGGTCTCCTTAAGCGCCTTTAGCACATTTCCAGGTAACCATGCCCCAACCGACTTGCCTCTACGAATGTCACTCAAGCTTTGGCGTACATAGGTTGCACATTTGTTTCTCCATATCTTCTTAATGGCCTGATCGTGCTTAGGATCCCATCTAAAAAGTCCCTGGGTTTATGAACATACAAAGAGAATTATAAAAAAGGCTTATTGCATTAAATGAATTATAAAAAATAAGCTTGTTAAATCATTAAATATACCTTAAACTCTCCAAACCACAACATTCTCACATTTTTTGGGATTTGATTCCATCCGGTCCATGGTTTCTCATATTTGGATTTGATGATGGTTGAAATTGTTTTAGAAGTATCATATGGAGTAAACCTATATGCAAAACAATTGTGCAGATTAAGATTTATTTTATGAACAATGGCAAAAATGAATTAAATGATGTGTGTGGTTTAAAAATTACTCTTTTCCGTTCGGGCATATTAATATTCTGTTATCATTTCCCGATGAAGATGTCTCAGCAGAAGCAGCGGGAATTGAAAATGATATTGCTGAATTTGATGGTGCTGGTGCTGGTGCTGGCAACAAATCAAAAAAGAAAACGTACTTAAGTAGCCAAGAATAAACATAAACATGGGTTACAAAAGGTTTTAGTAAGTACCTTGTGGTTGAATATGAGAAATATGTGCTGGTGTTGATTTAGTAATGAGTGCATTACTTGAATTAGCACCAGCTGCAGGTGCATGTTCAGATACTTGCTTCGAATTAACTACAGGAGCACGAGAAGCACTAGAAGCAGGTGTTGGTTCTGATCGAACAACGCTCGGAGCTGAGCCCTCCCTAATTGTATCTCTACCGTTTCCTCTGCTTCTTACTTGTCCTCTAAAGCCACCACGACCACGGTTATTCAACATCTGTACATTTGAAATGATAAATTATATAACATTAATCATATAAGTCTCAAAAGCATGTTGATGCTCAATTTAAAAATATGTAACTTCAATAAGAGAACAAAAAACAAAGATACCATAAAAGAACCTTAATATAAATTGCTTTAAACCTAAAAACCTAGAGTAATGACTTCATAAAAGAACCTTAATATAAATTGCTTTAAACCTAAAAACCTAGAGTAATGACTTCCTTATAATCTTCTTCTACTTAAAGATCTTCTTCCATTTCATCATCATATTCTTCTTCTTCTCCTTCTTCTTCTTCTTCTTCTTCTTCTTCTTCTTCTTCTTCTTCTTCAAAATCTTCTTCTTCTCCAAAATCCTTTTCTACTTCATCATCAGAGATATCATTTACGACATTAGCATTATGATCAAGTTCAACTTCATCGCCTAGATCATTGAAATCCCTTAATGAAACTTGAATATCATCTTCACAAGAAACTTCTCTAGGATCTGAACCATTATCCTCTTGGTATGGCGCATCACACGACTGGATTATCCTTGCTCTTGTCTTAATAACTGCAAGCCAATCTCTCATACCACGATTCGAGTTGGGATACTGTGTAAAATATACTTGCTCGGCTTGTTGAGCAAATATAAAAGTATCTTTCCCCTTATAAATTCTATTTGATTTTACTTCAACAAGCCCATGTGGGGAAATCCTGGTGCCCAATGTTGATGGATCGAACCACTTGCAATTAAAAAGTGCTAACTTTTTTCTTGGCATTCCAGGATAGACTATCTCAAGAATTTCTTCCACGATTCCATGATATAAACCTTCTTCTCCAGATAGAACGACTCCAGAATTATTTGTTTTTCGATCTTCAGCTCGCGAGGAAGTGTGAAAACAATAGCCATTCACATAGTAAGCTGAGAAAGTCTCCACTCGGTGTAAAGGACCCCAAGCTAGGTTGTATAAAAGTGGATCCTGGATATTATTAACAGGATTATGTACCTAAGAAAAATACAAAATAAATAAAATGTTAATAACAGAAAGAGTAATTTACAAATTGGAATATTATTAATAAGATCTAAATATAAAACACACATATTCGCGGAACCAATTGACAAAGTTTGATTCCACTTGTTTAGAAACCTCCATGCTGCTGAAGTTGACATCCAAAGACGACACATAAGCACTGAAATGGTTAGAAAGAAATCAAACTTTATCAGAAAAAAATATCAAGGACTAAACATCAAATAATACAGAAATGAATGCTACTTACTCATAAAATGGCCGTACTTCATGACAATTTAAGAGAACGTACAGAGAAATTACATCTAGTTCTTGCTCATTAAGGTAGCGAGTCTTGGAGACCCCATCAGATCGCCCAGGATAGTTAAAAATAGAGAGTCGTGGATTCTCGAATGACTCTCCACCATCATCATTACGTGGCACTCTTCTAACCCTTGTGTGGACGTGAGACTCAAAATAATATGAACAAAAAGTTGATGTCTCCTCAAGAACGTAAGCCTCACAAATAGAACCCTCCACTCGAGCTTTATTTTTTACTTTCTTTTTCAAATGGTGGAGAAACCTAACAGTAAAAGATTAATGCTTCGATTAAATATGGTCTTATAGAGAAAAATAAAAAAGTTAGCTATAATTTAAATAATTACCTCTCAAATGGATACATCCATCGGAATTGTACAGGACCACCAGTTATAGCTTCATACACCAAGTGTATAGGTAAATGTTCCATTACGTCGAAGAAAGCGGGAGGAAATATCTTTTCCAGCTTACATAAAATCACAGCAATATTTTTTTCCATCAAATCAAGTTTACTTTGTTCCAAAATGGGACAACACAAATCTCGAAAGAAGCAACTCAACTCAGTGAGAGTATGCAAAATAGGACCAGGCAGACAACTAAATGCAATAGGGATCAACCTTTCCATGAAAACATGATTGTCGTGACTCTTCATATGTTGCAACGTATAAGATTTCCAATCAACACACAAGCCCAAGTTAGAACCATATCCATCTGGAAGTTTAAGACCTTGTACCCACTCACATACTTCTCTCTTTTGGTTCATAGTAAGAGTATATCGTGCTTTCGGCTTCACACATTTCCCGTTGCCATTGTTCTCCAATTCTAGTGTTGGACGATCACAATATAAAGCAATATCCATCCTTGCCTTAACGTTATCTTTGGTTTTACCTTTGACATCCATGATTGTATTAATCACATTTTGAAAAATATTAC